GGTTTGAACCACCAGCCTTCTGGTTAGCAGTCAAATGCCTTAGGCACTATGCCACCAGAGCTCCCTGAAAATTATTATGTATCCCTAAAAGTAAAAAGAGAAAAGGGAAGAGACAAGATGAGACGAAACAAGACAAAACTCTACTGGAATCTGGACAGAAATGTGGATTTCCAGAACTCTCACACATAGGATAAGAATTTGGATTCTACCTCAAGTTCAAAACAGTTCTATCCCAAATATTAAAATAGATTTTACATCAAATATAGTTCAATCATTTGTTAAACACCACCTTCTCCTCTTCATCAACACCTCTTCTCTCCTGCTATTTCACTTTCTTCTATTTCCCCAGCCCTTAAATCATACCTCCAAACAATTAAGAAAAAAAAATGTGTAAGATGTGTTTTGTTGTTGTTGTTTATACTTTCAACATGCAAAAATCCAGAATACTGTGGAATCACTATGCTTGGAAACTGGGTAAAGGTGAGTGAGTGATTTGGTCTTAGGAAGGATGCTGGCAACACAAGGTGGCAAAGGCTATGGAGCGAGTCCCAAGAATGACACGGCTTACCCTACTCTGAAAATCTGAAATCGGGGTTTCTCTAGGCAATCTAGCCAGTAGTTCCACTTCTGTTTTGCCTTATAGATGCAGGAGGTACCGTATGTAAGACCGTAGTAATCTGTGCTTTCAGAATTCCTCTAAAATGCTTAGCAACAAAATCACTGATTAAACACTAAGCCATGAAACAAACAAACCACTTTGACCTTTCTTCAATCTTTGCAGAAGATTCCTCATTTTTGTGCTTCAATTCCATTTCTCTTCCTTATAACACTCTCTTCCCACCTCCGTTTTCTTTCTTTCCTCAAAATCACATCCCTGTAGCTATGTGACCACCCTATGACCTCCTTTAGCCCCAACAGGCAAGATATCCACGTTAAAAATGACAATTTCAATAATAATTCCAGCTAAAAGTCTCTGTGGAAAGATTCCTCTGTGGTCAGCACCAAGCTCTGTGCCCATTGTGCACAGCAGTGAGCCCAGAGTCCCCCCAGACAATCCCAGTTCCTCATGCTTCACTCTTGGTTGGCTGAAGACAGCAGGGAAGTGAAAAGAGAAGCTTCTAGTGCTGCCCTCCATCTGGCTAGAAGTACACCCTACCACCCAGAGAGACGGCCGCCAAGTCCCTCAGTTTCTCCTCAAACAAGCTCCACTCACCCAACTCTTCCATTGCCACACACCCAGGACGCTGTGGTGCCCCAGGTTGGGAGGAGCTCTTCTGGCATGTGCTGAAGCAGAGGACCGTGAAGGAACTGAAGGAGGCAGCATGCAGCACCCTCTGTAACCCTTTTTGGTTCCTGTATTTGCTTAGCACTTCCTCTCTTTTGATTTGGTGATTTTTTTTTTTTTTTTAATGTATGTCACAGTTTTCAAAATGAAATAGGACTGACAGAGAAAGGCAGGTTGTAGGATTTTAATTCTGATGGTGGACTGGCAAGGCAGATATAGAGTCAAAATTAATTTAGCAAAATGGGAGTCCTTACTAGGTGCCAGGACTCATCTTGAATTCCTGGAAATGGCACACTTGTACCTGTTTCTTCCCAGTGTAGGTCCCACTATGACTGTACTGCTTTTTCTGTGGAGCTGGGGGACAATGGAGGCACAGGGTCTGTGAAATTTCCATCAGAGTTAATCAGCACACACTTCATTTTGCTGTCTTCTTTTTTACTTGATTATCCAGGAATTACGGTTACCCACTATACTGAATAGACTGTAAATCCTTCAAAGGCAGGGCTGATGCCCAGGGCCTGGCTTATTTCAGGGCTCCAAAATTCAAGCATCTACAAATGACATGCCATCAGGAAAGGTCAATTGCTAGAAAAGGACACCATGTTTGGTAAACTGGTTGCTGTTTTTGTTGAGTCAACTCTGACTCATGTGACCCCATGATAAAGTGGGAAACCCTCTGCGACATGGACTGACATGGTGGCAGCAGCAGTGGGCTCAAACACAGGAGCGACTGTGAGGATGACACAGCGCCGGGCGGTGTTTGTTCTGCCATGATGGATAAGGTCACCCCGAGTCAGGACCTACTCAGTGGCAACCAACAACAACATAGAGGTCATCAGGAGTGAAACTGAAAGGCTTAAGACATCAGGTGCTAAATTGTTGCTATCTCAATTAAGCCAAAGTCCTGCTTAGTTGCATTGCCTTGTAGCCGTTTCTCTGAACAGTGATACGGAGATTAACTTTCATCTTTTTTATCAATGTGATTTTCTTCACCTTGAATGAAATAAAACATTTACCAAATGAATCAATGAAGGCAGTATGTAAAGAATCATAGTTAGGGCCCTGTGAAATAAACATCTCCTTTTTTACCAGTGATGAAATAGGTTCAAGGACAGTCACTTGCCTAACAGAGTAAGTAGGCACCTTTCTTACCTAAAGAGCTCTGGTGGCACAGTGCCTAAGGAGTTGACTAACCAGAAGGTTGGCGGTTCAAACCCTCCAGCCACTCTGCAGAAGGAAGATGGGACAATCTACTTCTGTAAAGATTTGTTGTTGTTTGCCGTCGAGTCGGCCCTGACTCATAGTGACCCCTCCTTGGGTTTCCGCGGCAGTATCACTACAGAAGTAGGATTGCCCAACCTTTTACTGCTTCAGAAACCCAGTGGGAATCGCTGTCAGTTGGCACTCACTCAATGACAGTGAGTTTGGTTTTTTGGTTTTGTTAGGGACCTACTAAAATTCAATTTGACTTCGAAGTCTATGATACTTTCTCTACAATACAGTGGTCTCTTTTTAGGTTAATCTATAGGGATCATTCATTTCCCTTTTCACTGTGTCTCAAAATTTCTTAGATTCTGAGATTCTTTCTGCACTACTCTGAGTAACCATTGGGTGGCAGTGCTGTTTCAAAAGTCTTTTCACTGCCCTCACGACATTAAAAAATTCCCATCCATACTATATAATTTTCACAAGTGAAAATGGCATCGTGCTACGAAAGTGCAAAAGATTCAGTAGAGAATATAAAACACTTGCCCAATCTGAAGTGGTACAATGACTGTATTTCTTCCAGTGGCTTTTGATGCTTCCTGCATTGTTCGCTATTTTATCCATAGAATCCTACCGTGTTGCAACTAGAGGCTTGAAGTTATTCTTCAGTTTGAGAAATGCCCACCATGTTCTTCCCATTAGGTTGTCTAACTCCAGGTCTTTGCACATTTCATTATAATACTTTACTTTGTCTTGAGCAGCCCTTTGAAATCTGCTGTTCAACTCTTTTACTTCACCTGTTCTTCAGTTCACTTTAGCTATTCTACATTCTAGGGCAAATTTTAGACTCTTTTGACATCCATTTTGGTCTTTTCTTTTTAACGACCTTTGCTTTCTTCGTTTATGATGTCCTGATGGCGTCTCACAACTCATCTATCTTTGGTCTTTGGCATTCAATCCCTCAAATCTATTCTTGAGATGGTCTCCATACTCAAGTTGAATATGCTCAAGGTCATGTCTTGGCTATCGTGGACTTGTTTTAATTTTCCTCAGCCTCGATTTGAACTTGCATGTGAGCAGCTGATGTTCTGTTTCACAGTCAGCCCCTAGCCTTGTTCTGACTGATGATATTGAGCTTCTCCATCATCTCCTTCCACGGAGACAGGCAAATAAATTACTGTGTACAGAGTGCCATCTGGCAGTATAGTCACCATCTATGTTGTTTAAAAAAAAAAAAAAATTCATTATCTTGGAAGATAGATCTCTCTTGGAGGAAATACACCCAGAACGGGAGTATGGTTAAACTGTCTCACATACTTTGCACGTTATCAGAAAGACTAGCAGCTGAAGAAGGACATCATGCTTGGTAGAGGGTCAGTGACAGAGACGGAGGTTCTCCATGAGACTGATGGACACAGTGGCTGCAATAATGACCTTCAAACACAGCCACGACTGTGAAGATGGCAGGACTGGGCAGTGTTTCACTCTGTCCTACACAGAGTCGCCAAGAGTCAGAACCTACTGGACCAGCATCGAACAACAAATCTCAAGTGGTAATTGAGCCAAAATACTGGAATATGCTTCAGCAGTTGGCTAGCAAATATCGGACTGCATCTACAGTTGAACTGAATGATTAATGTCAAATCTAGAATGAATCTTCAAATCTGTTTCCATCCTTTTTGGGGCTTTTAATCTCAGATGTTTTGTTTTCCAGTGTTAAACGACTGTGGTTGCAAATTACTCCTTGAATATAATGGATGAAAGAAGGAAAGAGATGCAAAAAGCCAACTGCATCACTACTGCAACATGGAATGAGCAAATGGAAACCCCCCTTTGGCCACATTAGGAAGACAATTTAGTGGCACACGGTACTGAGCAGATAAAGCTGTTACTCGGTGTTTCCTGTGCAGCACAAACGTTTATAAACCGCAGCTGGCTTCGGGACAGGAAGATCTTCAGCTTTTCTGGGGAGGTCACCGAAGTCACGCTAACAACCCTTCGCCCTTTTCTCCAGCTCAGGAACCACAAACCAAAATTTAAGCAGCAGATACCAGCTTCTTGATGCTCTAACAACGTTTGGAAGAAAAGCAACTCTACAATTCGTTCCGCAAAGCTTTATTGAGTGCTAAGCACTGTGCTAGGTCTCTGACGTCCTGACCGAACCAGATTCACTTTCCTCCCTTTCAGAGGCCCACAGATTAGTAGGTCACAAACAGGATGTCACTACGAAAGAAGACATGAACCCTGGCCAGACGTAGAGGAGGTGCCACCTTACCAAACCCAGGTGCGAAGTATTATGTGACTACCCTGGATATGCTATGCCAATTTCAAGTTTTAAGTGCGAAAAAGGAGCGCAGTCACGCTCTGACCAGCAACTGGCAGACTCCTTGGCTCGGCCCTGCTCAGACGTCATAGCCGGAAACATTGCCAGTCCGGAAACACTGCCTCCCTAGAAAAGTAAACTCAGATCGCGGAAAGAGAGTAAACTACATTTCCCATAAACAGCCAGTCAAATACTCCCAGCATTCCCTCCGTCCCAGGTTCCCTATCTTTATTTATTACAGCCCACGTTAACGAGGACTTCATGTCCCAGGATAGCGTTGGAAAAAGTTAGCCATACGCATGCGTCAGGAGGCGGGTTCTCATTGCTTAGACGACCCCGCCTCCGTCCTACCGCCGCCATTTTGTTAGAGACTTTCATCCGGCAGCCGACGGGGCTTTTTTTCTTAAAGGAGAAGCGACAGCTCAAAAAATTCCCCCATCTCCTTGCACGACCTGGCGACGCTGGGGACAAAAAAGCCAAAGACAGGAAAGTGGGACTCAGGGTGGAGGCAGAAGAACGACTAGGCTGTTTCCGCGGACTGAGGAAGGCTAGAAAGAACCCTTGTGGTATTAGCAGCTCCTTAGGGAGGCAGGTGCGCGCGCAGCCAGCCCAGGGTGCGCGCTGGCGGGGAAAGAGGTGCGTTTTCTCCCTACCAACCTCCTTCGCGAGACCTGCCCCTCCCATTGCCCCTAGCCCGCGTTGATCTCCGGGGGGGGGGGGGGGGGAAGGTCACTTTCGGATTGTCGCGAGACGCAGCCGTTTAACGGTGAGAGCGAGTGCGCGGGGAAGGAAACCTCGCGCGCTCCCTTGAAGCCGTTGCCTGATTGGTGGAAGAAAGGGGTGGAGGCGGGAACTCGCGGCGCCGCTGCGTGAGAGGCTGGGAGGGGTGGGGCCAGGAGGCATTTCCTCCTCTCCGATTGGTTCTTAGAGCGTCCGTGTCGGGCGCGCGCGCGCCACCAGCGGCTGCAGGCTGTGAGTGGCAGGGGGCGGGGGGGGAGCCCTCGGAGCTGTGAGGAAGGGAGGGGGGAAAAGGAGCGAAGGGTAAGAGTGAGCCGGACGCTCCGGGAGGCGAAGGGGGCGGGGGGAGCAGCGCCGCGGCCGCCGCCGCCTCCGCCTCCGCCGCCTGGGACGAGGGGGTGGGGACGGACAAGCCCCGATGCCGGGGGAGACGGAAGAGCCGAGACCCCCGGAGCAGCAGGACCAGGAAGGGGGAGAGGCGGCGGCGGCGGCGGCGACTAAGGCGGCTCCAGAGGAGCCCCAGCAGCGGCCCCCTGAGGCGGCGGCGGCGCCTGCGGGGACCACTAGCAGCCGCGTGCTGAGGGGAGGTCGCGATCGGGGTCGGGCCGCTGCGGCGGCCGCCGCCGCCGCCGCTGCCGCTGCTGTATCCCGCCGAAGGAAGGCCGAGTATCCGCGCCGGCGGAGGAGCAGCCCCAGCGCCAGGCCTCCCGACGCCCCAGGGCAGCAGTCCCAGACCGCGAAGCCCCCGTCTCCAGCTCAGGGCAAGAAGAGTCCGCGACTCCTGTGAGTAACGCAGTCTTTCAGGCGGTGGGAAAGACCCCCCTCTGTCTGCTCGCAACCCTCCCGGCTCCCGTAGAGCCCACTCCACGTGACATCCTGCCTGCTCTGCCCCCTGCCGGCTCCGCACTCCTGATGTCACCCGGTTTTCCCTGCTACCGTTGGCGAACACTCCCCTCGGCCCTGGTGTCCTCTGCCTGCCCGGCCACTTGCCGACTCCCTGAAATCATGCTTTGTGGGCTGCACGCCTTTGGTCCCCAGTGGCCCCCTTCGCCGCCGCCCGCAGGCTTATTCCGCACTCTGGCAACTGCACCCCCTTTGTCACCCTGTCCCTTAGCCTCTTACAGCCGCTCTCGGGATTGCATCACGACCTCGTTAGGAAATCCGCAGCGCAGTCTTAGCCTTCGCAAGTGTGACCTTCGTCTTCCCATTAATTAGCCCAAGAGCCAGTTTTAATTGTATCTTTACGTAGCTTTTTTCTACTCTTAAAAATTCCCACATCACTTTGCCCATTTTTAAGAAAATTGATCACTAACCGGGAGGGCTGTGCCACTTTTAAGTGTAGTTTTTCGTATATCAAAGTAGGTGGGTGTGTGTGAGTGTGCGTTTTAAATCGAGTTGGATTTGTTTTTGCATGTTGTAAGAGCTTCGTTTTAGAAGTAGACTCATCTAAAAGGAATTCTTTATTACCTACAGGTACTAGAGGTGCCATGAACGTAAAGATTGTCATTTGTTCATTGAAATGACACTCGTGTAAAGAGTCCCAAAGCATGTAGGTTTGTAAATTTTAGGAATTACAGTTGTGGTTTCATTCATTTCTGAAAGCATCATTAGTGTCATTTGACTTACAAATGACAATATTTGATAAAGCAGTGGGATTGGAGAAAGAAACAGTCACAGTTTTAAGTGCGCCCCCCCCCCCATAGTGGCAAGAGTTGACCTGTTTCAAAAGTAAAAATTAAATGCGATTGGACGTGCCTGCCTTAGAGTCAATCCTCTCAAAGAGGAATAACATTCAGAGGTGTCCTGTGGGACTAGATGTGCTTCGAATTTTTGAATGTCATTTAAGTTTACATAATTTAGAATATTTTGAGCGAACAACCGTTCTGTAGACAAAACTCTGTACTTACCACAATTTTGCTGCAGTTAGAAATCTTAATTTGAAAAGATAAGTTATTAGCCTTATTTGGGTTTGTTGTTGTTGTTGTTATGTGCCCTCGAGTCAGACCTGACTCATAGAGACCCCTCCTTGGTTTTCCCAGGCAGTATCACTACGGAAGTAGATTGCCCCATCTTCCTTTGAGGAGTGGCTGGTGGGTTTGAACCGCCAGCCTTGTGGTTAGCAGTCAGATGCCTTAGGCACTATGCTTGTGGAATTAAACATGGCATGTGAAGCTTTTAGCACAAGGCCAAGTACACGAGTAAAAGTTACTGTTTTGAGTGGTGGTGATACAGCACTATGAGTAGTATGTAGTGTGTAGTGGTGCTTTTCATACAAATTTGGCAAATTCTACATAATTGAGTTTTTCATTTTTTGCATTACCGTCAATAGCACTATCACTTGTCATTGAGTCACTTCTGACTCATGCTGACAATATGTGTGTCAGAGTAGGTCTTTCCTCAGTAGGATTTTCTGTAGCTGATACTTAAGAAGTAAATCTCCAGGGCTTTCTTCCCAGGTTCCTCAGGGTGGACACAAGCCATCAACTTTTTGGTTAACAGCTGAGTGTATTAACTGCTAACCAGTTGCATCACCCAGGGCCTATTACCACACATAAGAAGTTAATACTTAAAATTCCTTTCCCTTCTCATCTACTGTTTGAGAATGAAATATACCTAATCTCCTTGCATTTGGCTGCTAATCAAAAGGTTAGCAGTTCTAGTAGAAGTACTTCCTATGTATATGGTGTTTTATTCTATTTGTACAACTTTCTTCAGGAGCTTTGGTGGTGCTTGGTTAAAAGATTGAGCTGCTAACCAAAAGTTTGACAGTTGGAATCCATCGTCTGCTCTGTGGGAGAAAAATGGGGCAGTCTGCTTCCCTAAAGATTTTACAGCCTTGGAAACTCTATGGGGGCAGTTCAGCTCTGTCCTGGAGGGTCGCTATGAGTCAAGTTCAACTAGATGGCAGTGGATTTGGTTTTGGTTTAGTGTGTGTGTATATATATATATATATTCTTGCTACTTTCCCCCTCATTGTTTAACCAGTTTTACTTCTTGAAATGATCAAACATAATTATAGGTAGTGTGGTAGTTTTACCCGCTGTCATGGCATATGTTTCCCCTGAACCCACCAAGAAAACCCCACTGCCAATCTTTATGGAAATAGATTGCCTCATCTTCCTCCCATGGAGCTGCTGGTGGGTTTGAATCACTGACCTCCTGGTTAGCAGCCAAATGTCTTAACCATTGTGCCACCAGAGCTTATGTTTTCCCTAACTCTTGGCAAAAACTACTTAGTTAAGTCTTTGCACTTCTTAAAGTTAACAGTTGAACTTTCAAAAGGATCCTGAAGATGACTTGACTAAATCCCTTCAGCTTTTTCTCCACCATATTCCTTGTAGGGAGGAAAGGATAGTTTTAATTCTTGGTGGCCCTCACTCTCATCCAGTATCATAAAAGGAAGTAGCAGTGAGTATTCTTTTCTTAGCCTCAGAACTCTCTCTTGATTTTGTATTTAAAATTAATAGTTTTGATTAATAAAATCCATTTCATCATAATGTTTCTGTTCCAAGTTTTCAATTTATTGCATGGCCTGGAACACCACAGAAGTCCTAAAGCCGTTCAGCTCAGATTGTCCTGACTGAACTGTAACCGGCCTGGTAATGTGCTAGGCTAGGGTGGAGTACCAAGCTCCGTAGACTGTTCCTAGCCCCTTAGGACCTTGCAGCATAAGAGGAGGAAGATGCTTTGATGAGTGAAGATTTGTCCAGCATGTGCATGGCTTACACATTTTCAGAATGATCAAACACAATTTAACACTGGTTTTTCTTAATATAATTCTTTTATTCATGAAGACATTTCAGGAAGTTTTGAGTGTCAGTTACTAACCTGTGGTCAAGTGTCTTCTGACCTTGATTCATCTGTTAGCTAAATAACTTATTTCATTCAGGTCCTTTTTCCACAGCCCACCTTTTCTGTACAGAATGTCAGCCTTCAGCTAACAGTGGCTTCTCTTGATTAAAGAGACAGAAGAGTACAGAACAGCTTAAAAGGTCACTAAATAGAGATATTTGAGTTGATTGAAATCTGCTCATACTCGAAAGTAAAATACTACAGTGAAAAAGCCTGGGACTTTAGCCAGCAAACCCAAGTTTCAAGTCTTGGCTTTTTAAGACTCATTAGGTGACCATGGGCCAGTCACTTAACCCCTTTAAATCTGCTTCCTTATCTTGTGAAATGAACATCGAATGTTCATAATTGGATGATAATTAGGTAGCAGCTTTGATAAGTTTCTTAAGCTTGTAACAACTTTCTCTGTTTTCTTTGAAATGTTCTTGGAGAATAGGAGATATTTATGAATGAAGAAGAATGAAAAAAGTTGTTTTCAGTGGATTTGCTCAAGAGAAAGACATAAAGTTAATGCTTGGAATCATAATTTAAAGCCTAGGCGGTGAATAGTAAGGAAAGAGAAACCAAATTTGAAGAATGGCTATTTTATGTACTCAGTACTATTTAAGAATTAGCCTGATCATTTTTTAGGCAATAAATTCCAGAGTTAAGATTCTCATGTTTCAAATGCAGAAGTTAATACACTGTCCCGTTTAAATTTTTAAATAAATATATTCCACAGGAAACACATGGGAGCATTGGTATAGTAGTTCTCAGATATATTTTTTTTTTTTTCTGATTGATAAGTTAAAACATCCATGCTTTCAATAGAAATTGTCAGAGCCAAGATTAGGTCAAATTGCAAAAAAGCTGTTTTTCATTCACAGTAACTTCATTTCCTGTAGATCTCAGTTTAAAACTTTAATAATAAATAAATACTTTTTTAAAACATCTGATTTAGCTGTTGGGTAATCGTTTTAGCTAAGACTGAATGTTTTAAGTGTTTGGGTTTAGATGAGTGATACATGAGGGAAACAGAGGTACCGCTCTGTTATTTTCTGGTATATCAAGTTCCATTTTTGCTATGTTTTCCTTTTAAAAGTAAGATGATAGCCTTTGGATGACACTTTCTTGCTATTCCCTTTTTTAAGTAAAACGTGAGGGTCATGAGTAGTGAGAAGGAGGCAGGGATATTCTGAACTGAAAACTTTCATGGCTCTTTGAGGAAGCCTTCATTTGTGCAAGATGGCAACCCTTACTTTTCCTCTTGGGGTGATCAGTGTGGTGATAGAAACACTGAGCCATTCTGAAAGGTTTTCAGAAGGTTTAATGTTTCAAAATTTTGGCAGTTAGAGTTTTCATGTAGAGTTAGGAGGATTAGCAGTTATCATGTATTAATTTTAATTGGAGCATTGGTAATATAAAATAAAATGATAATGTCAAACTTTTTTTTTTTAATAAGGACCAAGAAATGATAGCTGTTCTTTCTAAAGAGAGCAGAATTTGTGTAATGGTGTGGCTTCTACATTTGCCTGACTATCCTTTTCTAATGTCTAAGACAGTGTCTGCATTTTTATTAAGTTCACTTGCCAAATACATTAACACAGTTTTGTATTGCTACAAGGCATGTTGATTTTTGAAGTTGAGTGATGAGTGTGAGAAGTTCATTATTGCACAAGACATTGAAGTATGATAGAAATTTTTCCAGATTACAAACATGGGAATAACATCATAGCTTCTGAGATGTATCTGTTGCCTTTTTAGAAACAGATTTTGACATAGGTTTAATTTGTTTTTTAGTTTCACTTAATTTTTATTATGAAAATAGTCAAATATACAAAATACAGGGAAAACAACGCAAGGAAACCCAGGATCACCAAGACTGGGCAGTTACCAGGAGTTCTCTAAGCTTGCTTGCTTCATCTATCCTCTTTTCCTCCCTCTCCTCCCTTTTTTTCCCCAGAAGTACTTTAGGTCAGATCCCAAACTTTGTGACATTTCACCCCTATTTACTGCATTTATGTAAATTTGGGCACTTTCTAATACTCCCTTTTATGGTATCGTAACTAACATAATTAGCTATATGTTTTCATATCCATGTCTTTCTACAGTTAAAACAACTGTTTTGAATGCTTACTCTAGTTCTGCACTGTAAGGTATGATGACACATGTGACTATTTAAATTCACATTAATCAGAAAAAAAAATTGAGTGCCTCAGTTACAGCAGCTGTCTCAAGTGCTTGGTAACCACAGGTGACTGCCGTATTGAGTAGTGTTGGTGCAGGAGGTGTCCAGCATCCCAGGGATGTTCTGTCGGGTAGCACTGTGCTAGACACTTTTTATTACCATGTTGGAGATTAACTTGTCACCTGAAAGAGGTAAGTATTTGCATTTTAAGAAAATGTGCAAGATAATCTGTTTAATTACTTCATTCTCATTTCTTTCAGATGCATAGAAAAAGTAACAACTGATAAAGGTAAGATTTGGTTGTCTTTACCTTACTTACACATTACACTGGTTATTTTATAATCGGATAAGCCTCAGCCTGGTAATTCACTTTACTTTCCATTTAAAAATGACTTTTTTTCAGTAAAGAACTACTGAATTGTACATAGAAGCTATTTAGATGACAGTGGATTTGGACAGAGGACTACCTTGGCTACTTGGAAACCTACTGGGAAATAATCAGGTTGTTTGATGTTAGTTAATTGAAATTTGTTTAAGTGGTTGACATTTTTATGAATGAATAAAGAGAGGGATGGTACACACTATACAGATTTAAGTGTAGAGAAAATCTTGATGCCGGGAGAGGCTCAAGTTATAAATGTAGTGGGAAGAATGCGGAAAGAAGACTGTTCTTCCAAGATTTCAGCCTGTAAATAATTAAATGAGGTTATTTCACTTTGGAGTGTTTAGTATACCAAATGAATATGTATTGAATGTAGTTTTTTGCTTTTCTGGATTATTAAGGACAGCTAATGTCTGCTTTTCTCTTTTTGTAAACGTTTATTTAAAAGCCTTTAGTTTGGCTGTGTTTTGGCTTTGCACATTGGGTTATTAAAATTGCTCTACCATTCATTACATTTCTCTTTTTTTTCCTAGTTGTTGGCTGTGTTTCTTGATGCTAAATTCAAACACACAGGATCCTTCTTAAAGCTGGAGCAAATGCACTTTTAGGTGTATCTAATGCATTGTGTATGATCTTGACCCGTTCCTTACACAGCCACTTTCCAACTCCAGAGAGTTGACCAGTTAGATTTTTTTTGTTTGTTTGACCAGTTAGGTGTTTTTTTTGTTTGACCAGTTAGTTTTTTTAAGGTCCACTTTTAACCTATTTCTTTCTTTCTTTCTTTTTTTTTTTAATTTATGTATTCTTAATGAAGTTTTTTTCTTCTTCATAAAAATACTTTGAAAATATACATAACACAAGTTTAAAACCTGGATTTTTATGCCAGTTAGAAGAATGACAGTGTGATTAGGAACCAGTCATTTGAATTGGTGGCTGCTTTGTAAATAATTAAGGAGCTCTGGTGGTGTAGTGCCTGAGGCATTTGATTGCTAACCAGAAGATGGGTGGTTCAAATCCACCACCAGCTGCTCCCTGGAAGGAAGATGGGGCGATCTACTTCCTTAAAGATTTATGGTCTCAGAAACCCAATGGGAGTCACTGTGAGTTGAGATCAGCTCAATGGCAGTGAGTTTGATTTCAGTTTTTCTCATGGTATAATAGTTAAAACACTTGTCTATTAACCAAAAGGTTGGTAGTTCAATTTGAACCCACCAGGAGCTCTGGTGGATAGTGCCTAAGGCATTTGACTGCTAACCAGAAGGCTGGTGGTTCAAACGCACCAGCCACTTCTCAGAAGGAAGGTTGGGCAATCTACTTCCATAGTGATACTGCTTCGGAAACCCAAGGGAGGGGGTCTCTATGAATCAGATCTGACTTGACGGCAGTGAGTTTGGTTTTTTGGTGTCCTTTCTATGAAAGAAAGATGAGCAGTCTGCTTCCGTAACGATTCATAGCCGTGGAAACCCTGCTCTGCTCTAAGGGGTTGCTGTGAGTCACATTGACTTGATGGCAGTGAGTTTCCCAAACTCAAACTCACTACAGTTGAGTTGGATCTGACTCACAGAGACCCCTCCTTGGGTTTCCAAGGTGGTATCACTATAGAAGTAGATTGTCCAACCTTCCTTCTGAGGAGTGGCTAGTTTGAACTTCAAGCCTTCTGGTTGGCAGTCAAATGCTTTAGGCTCTGCTCCACCAGAGCGCTCACTTTATACCAAATATTTTTTTTTAATGTTTTAGAAATTTTGTGATTTCTTTTGTAAGTATAGAGAGCTTTGCATGACTATTTTGTGTAGTGGGTTTGGGTTTTGTTGCTACTATTGTTACTCCTAGGTATGTCTACCAAGAAAGGATGGTCTTGGGTTCCTCATTGCGGGTTTGTTTTGGACCTTTTATGATGTGGGGAAATGTAGAGACAGGTGGCACTCAAGTCGTAGAGCAGATCGATGAGAACAGAAACCAAGCTCCCCACCCTGCCTTTATCAGAGCCGACATTACCTTACATCTATAGAGTGTATTTACAGAAATAATTTTAGGTTGCTTTGAGGAGAATTTGGGAGAAAATAGCAGAGATTCCTAATTGTTGGACTGATAAATTAAATGATCCTCATGGGGTTGTCATGTTGCCATGTTATGTTATGTGGCTGTATGGTTGTGAAAAAAATTGCAGCTACATTTTAGGTAATTCATCTTCAAAATCAATTCCACTTTAATCCATTAGTTAAATACTCTGGATCAACTTAGAGCTCAGGGTTTGAATTCAGGTTCTGTCTTTGTGTCAAACAAAGAGTTCAATACCTGAAATCCAGTAAGCACTCAATAAAAGGGAGTAGTTATTTTTGTAACATTTTAAAGAAATAAATATTTTCAAACTTGCACTCTCATTTCTTTATTAGCTTACCTAATGAAGCCATTTATTAGGTACAGTTAACAACAGTTGCTGAAATCCAGCCATATAGGGACCCAAGACTGTCTAGCATACATTTATACAATGAGGTCAGTGAATAAGAAACAGAAGCTGTAGTAATTGCCTTTTCCTGTACTGTTTAATGTTTGAATTTACCTCAATTCTTTCCCTTTATTTTGTCATTTTAACTTCTCACAAAGGTACAGTGTTCCTCTACAATAGACTTGATGTTAAGTCTGCTGATTTTATCTGAAGTAACTCATATTAATTCCATAAGTTTGAGGCTTCTTCAGCACTCTGAACAGGTTTAGATATTTTTTTAGAAATATGATTGTCTATCCATTTTATTGATACTTAAAAGGAATTTTTAAGATTGCTTTTACTCTTCTTTACTCCAAATACTTGGAGATTATATACTCTGCTTGAATAGCAAGTCCGTGTGTGTTTCACAGCTCCTAACCTAAAGATTGGAAACCACCCAATGGTAGGCTGCTTCTGTAAAGATTACACCCAAGAAGATCTCATGGAGAAGTTCTGTGTGTCTCTGTGAGTCACGTGGGGTCTCTCTGAGTCAGAATTGACTTGATGACAGTTGGGTTGGTTTTTTGAGTTGAAGATAAGAACTTTTGACATGTTGAAACAAACAATATTGTACACACAAAGTAACTTTCCATTACTTTTAAATTATTAAATTGCAAAGTGTCATACTCATTTTTTCAAACTGAAATACTAGCAAAGAAACATATTAATATTGGTCTCTGTTCCTGACGAATTTATTTGACAGTTAGGTGTATCTATGAGACATGGAAAGCTGCTTTGTTAAAACAGTGTTTATTAATTCATTCAGCAAGTAGTTGTTCATCATTCACTTTGTGTCCAGCACCATTTAGGCATGGATTGTAAGTGCAATTAACATATTATAACAGGGAAATATGATAGTGTTTGATCAGGTAGGCGTGAGGGGGTTTAGTTTAGGTAAGATGGCAAAGGAGGGCCTCTGAGGAGGTGACATTTGAGCTGTGACCTGAGTGTAGTGATAATGAAACAGCTAAGCAGATAGATAGCTGGGTGAGAGGCATTCTACCCAGAAAAAAAGCAGAAAGCTGAAAACTTGGTTTACCACTTATCTTTGTATTGTAGAGCTTCCAAGAATGTTAACAGAAATCTGGAGGGTTGAAGCTATCTGGTTCCTTTTTAACTTGGTTTTATATTTTCATTCTGTTCTGTTTTGGACTAATGTTACCTTCATGATAAAGACATAATAGGGTAGTTTACCTCAATGTAATTTATTAACAGTGCCAGTGTTACTTTATTCTCTAATTTTCATTTCTTCACTTTGACACCCAACTAGACATGCTAACATGGTGCAAATATCTTCTCTCCCATCTGTTGGATCTTTTGTGATAAATATTTAAATCGGCCCATCCAGATAAAACATCATAAAAAGGAGATTAAATACTAAAGAACTAGACAACTCAAGCAGTGCTTGAGTTATCAGAATTAGATTTTTTATTGCAGGACTTCTTAGAGACTTTGATTTTGAGTAATATGCAGTGTAAAAGTCAAAATACACAGTTACCTAACTCTGACTTAGACTCCCCACCCCTTTTTTTTCAGAATGTGTCATAAAATTAGAGTAAATGGGAAACACATTCTGGTAAGAAGCCTGGATGCTTGAAATTTTGATTGTAGTAAACTTTGGTTCTCAGAATCATTTTACTATTTTCAGTTACTGTTTGTTTTATTGTTGTTATGTGCCATTGAGTCAGACCTGACTCATAACGACCCCTCCTTGGGTTTCCGAGGCAGTATCACTACGGAAGTAGATTGCCCCATCTTCCTTCCGAGGAGTGGCTGGTGGGTTTGAACCTCCAGCCTTCTGGTTAGCAGTCAAGTGCTTTAGGCACTACGCTTCCAGAGCTCCCTCAGTTACTGTTACAGAATAGTAATGTTTGGAAAAGATTGCTTAGACGGTTATGAAAAGAGTTCATAACAGATCTGAGATTTTACTTAAACTATTAAAGGCGCTGACATTTTGTCTCACCTATTTTATTATCAGTGTAATGTCTAGAATTATTATTAAAATTAGGAGCTTTTTTTTTCCCCCTCAGACACCCTGGTCACAGCCTCAGTTTTTATTGATTTAGTCTAAGTCATAGAGTCTGTTTCTAAGACTTTCTTTTAAAAAAAAAAATGATAGTTTAGTTTTAACCTTTTTAATAGTTTTAATGTCAACAGAGTCTTTTACTTTTCCTGTGTTGAAATACTTCTGGTTATCTCTTATCTTCCATCAGTATTGTATCAGATTCATCTCTGCCTCTTGTTGACTTGCACATCAACACATCATAACTTTGTTTCTGTTTTCATTTACAGATGTCTCTCATTTCCACAATCTTTGAACAGTATTTGTATCTATTCTTAAAGATAATAGAACAGGTATTCCCACCTTTTTTTATTTTGCCACTCACGTGAGGAAATCTAGCTTGGCAGCCCTTGTTCTGTA